AGGAAATCTCAGAAGGAAGTTATTGGCCATATGGGAGGATCCAGAAAGGCCTCCTGCAGGTTATGGGGTTTCAGCTGTGTCTTCAGGGAAGCCAGGCAGGCCAGGAGGTAGAAGTGAGAGGTAAGTAGGAGGCAGTAATCGAAACTGTATGAGCTGATGAAATCATAGTCATTGGAGTGAAGAGAGAAAGAGGAGAAGGAAAAGTGAAGTCCCCAGAGAGAACCTTGGGATTATGCAGGGTCAGGGGCATGACCTGGGTGATAAATCAGCAGAAGACACCGAGGAGTGGTCAGACGTGAGAGAGCAGGCTCCTGACAGCCCAGAGAGAAGAGAATCTGCAGGAGGAGAGGGGTCAGGGGTGTCAAAAGCCACAGAGAGGTCAAGGAGGATGAGGATTGAGAAGAGGCTGTTAAATGTGGAAAGTAAGGCTTTGTCAGTAACTTTAGAAGGAGCAGTGGTAAGTCAGAGATAAAGTTTGGATGCCCAATTGTAGGTTTAGAAGCCAGAGAGAGGAAGCAGAGGCTTCAAATGTAGATGGGCTTTTCAAGGAATTTGGCTGAGAAAGGGAAGGGAGACACAGGACAATGGGCAGCAGGCATTTTAGGATTTAATGAGGGGTACGGAGGCCTTTTGTTTGGTTTGGTTTTAAGGATGAGGGTAGATGTGTTTGTAGGCAGCAGGGAAGGAACTAGTAGATGAGGAAAGATTAAACATTGGGAGAAAGGGAAGAATGACATGATTGTGAGTGAATATAGATGGGTTGGCTTTGGTGAGAAGGAGGAGGAAGATAGAGGAAGAGGATGGCAGAGGTTGAAGGAGAAGGATGCAGAAGGAGGAGGATGAAGGAGGAGGAAGAGGAAAGGGAGAAGGAGAAAGCAATGGGTAGTCACCAAATGGTACACCATGTTTAGGGGGCACAAAATGAGTGGATCCGGCTAAGGGGAAGGAGGATGGGTCAAAGAGATAAAAGGAGGACCAGGAGAGGGCAGCATTGCCAAAGCCAGAGAAGAGAGAGTCCCCAGGAGAAGGACATAAAAAGGACGAAAAGCCACAAGAGAGTGAAGGATGAGAACTTGAAAAGAACATCTGATTTAGCACGCAGGAGATCACTGGTGACATTTGAAACAGCTCATTCTGTGGGGTTGCCAGGAAGCCGGATGGCCAGGGGAAGGAAGTGAGAGCAAGGAATCCACTCAGGACTATCTCCTGCTCTGTCTTTCTAATCTCACTTTGACTTCTGTCTTTTCCTTTTATATCGCCATCATTTCTCAATGTATCTTTCCTCCTCTCCTACATAGCAAGCCAGCCCTGGTAGCAAAGGTTAAAACAAACAAAAAAAGTTCCTCATCAAAACTAGCTGACCTATGAACACTTAGACTAGTCTTTCTCAGAACTGAGCCCTAGAGGAGACCCATAGCTTCAGAGGACAGCTGGGTCAAGGAAAAGATTGGGAGGGTTTTTTGTTTTGTTTTGGTTTGTTTTTTAAGGCTAGGGTAGTGTGCTCATAGGTACCAGGAGATAAACAGAAATTGAAGAGCTGGTGAGGAGTGATTGACAAGGCAAACATCTATTCTCAACCTTTTTGTGTGTTAAATTGACCCTGCTCCCACCCAGGTGCGGGCCTTCATCACCTCACCCCTGGATCATCACAATAGCTCCAGGTGGGTCTGCCTACCTCAGGTCTCTCCCCACTCCCATCCTCCATTCAACCACTACAGCAATTTTCCTAAAGTTCAAGTCTGATTATGTTCCTCCCTTCCATAAATCAACTCTAGAGTGGTCCAATCAACTCTAGGGGCTCCCTACACAACCTCTAGAATCAAATAGAAAATCCTTTGTTAGGGAATCCAAGTCCTTCATAATCTGGCCCCTTCTATCTTTCTAGCTGTCTTGTCTGTTATATCCCATATTGAAGCCTACCCCCATGGACTCTGCCACCCAGAGGCACTGGTATCCTTGCTCTTCCTCCCACCAGACCCTCCAGCTTCAGAGCCCAGGAATTAGCCTCGGCGGTCCCCCATAACTGGAGAGCTGTCTCACTGCCTTACCTTCTCCTGCCTTCTACAATAAGCCTTTCCCAATCCCATTTAATTCTACTATCCTCCTTCTGTTGGCCAGGGAGAGAGAGACAGAGAAACAAAGAGACAGAGAGAGACAGAGAAATGAGAGACAGAGAGACAGAAAAAGACAGAGAAATGAGAGAGAGAGAGAGAGAGAGAGAGAGAGAGAGAGAGAGAGAGAGAGAGAGAGAGAGAGAGACAGGCAGAGGAGGCAGAGATAGAGAGAGGAAAGAGACAAGACAGGGGAAGAGAGGAGATAGAGACAGAGGAGAGAGACAGAGTCAAGGGGAGAGATGGAGAGAGGAGAGAAGAGAAACAGGAACAGAGAGAGAGAGAGAACTGATGGTGTGGCAGATATCATGCTGTGGGCTGGGCTTGGAGTCAGGAAGTCCTGGTTCAAATCTAGCCTCAGCTACTTTCTATCTCTGTGACCCTGGGCAAGTCACTTAACCTCTGTTTCCTTCAGTTTCCTCATCTGTAAAATGGAGCTGACAATACCATCTACCTCCCAGTGTTATTGTGAGGATGAAATGAGATAACTGTAAAGCACTTAGCTCCATGCCCGACACAATGTGGCCATTTAAATGCTTATTGATTGTTTCTTGTGCCCCTTTGGCGCTCTGGCAAAGCCTCTGGACCCCTTCAGAGAATGATGGCTTTAAATAATTGAAGGAAATGCTCAATTTCATTTAGAAATCACCAAAACAAAGATGTCATTTTTCTCACCCAGTTCACAGAGTCCTCTAAAATCCATCCTTGAGCCCTAGGTTCAAAGTTGCAGTCCTGGAGGATCTTGGAAGCCACCCGAGAAGAGTTAGACTGTGTGGAAAGAAGGGCCACCTTGTCTGTCCTCTGAGCCTGAAGGAAGGGCAGGCAGGGCAGGCAAATGTGTGAAAGGATTCTGCAGCCTACGGAGTGGAAGTCTGGGAGAGCAGTGATTTTACCGCAGATTCTCACTCACATAGGAGGTGAGCTTGGCACCTTGGAGGCAGGAAGATGGAAGAAGGTGCTAGCAGAAGGTTTCATAACTGAAGAGATTTGCCACAGCTACTGAGGTGTTCAATAAAAAGACTGGAGGAGGCAGAATAGTCGAGTGACTTCATGTCAGGAAGGCTTGGATTCAAATTCTGCCTCCTAGATACTAGATATATAACCCTGGGCCCATTTGACCTCTGTCTACCTCAGTTTTGTTTCTGTAAAATGGGGGTAATAATAGCACTTACCTCCTCAGGAAGATTGAATGAGATAACATGAACAGCACTTTGCCAACCCTGAAGCATTATATAAATGCTAACTATTTTTTTTTAATCCCTAACATGTACCATTGACCCTTGTCTGTAGCATAGTTATCCTTTCCACACCATGGGAGTTAGGGGAACGGGACCTCCCCATTTCCCCTCTCCCCGCACTACATGATCTGGAAAATCTGCGCAAAATTTTTTGCCCTCCCTTCATACCAGAGAATTCTGAATTATTATGGTATTAAAAGATAAAATATGTTGATATTATACAGTACTATTCATATGCTTTATGCATTTCTGAGTTTCTTAACTTTTTCAATGTCATCTGCTGGCCTTTGTTCATCGAAGTCTCCAGCTTCCACAAAACTCCCCCCAAAATTCCCATTTAATTTCTCATGCCTCCCTGAGATACATCAAAACCACGTTGGGAAAGTCACAATGTGGAAGAGATCACTGCGGTTGCTCAGTAAATACTTGTTAAATTTAATGGACACTACAGAAGTTATTGCACTTATCTACCACTAATGAGTAAGGATGTGTGTTTTGCTGAACTGAAAATCCCGGAGTCCACAGGTTAGGGGTCATGGGCCTGGGTGTCCTCTCAAGGCTCTCCCAGCGCTAACAGCCCTCCATCCTTCTGTAAGGAGTCGAGCCAGGCCCACCTGGGCAGGGTAGGTGCCAGTGTTTAAAGGTGGAAGTAGCACTGAATTTGGAGTCTGAGGACATGAAATCCTAACCCTGATACTTACCCCGCCCCATGTCCCTCCCATAAGGGTTCATGTAGAGTTCTAGACTCAGTGCTGAGTGTGGGGCTGACTACTAGGAAAGGAGATCTGGTATTTCTTGCACAATCTGAGTCTGTTCCCATCCCAGAGTTTCAGGGAGCAGAAAATATCTTAAATAAACCCAAGATGTGGTTCGTGCTCAGGGTCTCCCCTAAAAGAGATAGATATGGTCAGCTTAGTAGAATCTTGGGCTTTGGATATGGAAGTGATCTTGGAGGCCATATAGTCCTATATCTTCATTTTTGCAGAGGCAAAAACAGCACAGGTGTTTTTCTAGGAAAAGGTACAAAGCAGACATCAGGTATGACACGTGTTGTAGCTTCCTCTGCAAAATGGGGAAGAAAGCATTTACTAAGTGCAAGCATTACATAATGCTTTCAAGTGTGCTACTATCAAATTTTGATCCACGCAACAACTCTTGGAGAAAGAGGTTTTCACAGATGGGTAAACTGAGGCTTGGAGAGAAACTGCCCAGGGTCACACTGCTGGGCGAAGGTCCGAAGGTGGATTCGAACTCAGACTTGTTCTGATTCCAAGTCCAGCGTTCCATGAGCAGCGCCACCCAGCGGCTCTCCTGTAGAAATGTGAGAGACATCTGGGTAAAGGCCGGCGGGAGCGTATCTGTGCGCAGGCCCAGAGGCTCGCTCCGGGACTCGCCTCTGGAATGCAGGACTGCGCAGGCCTGATAGGGAGCCCCACCCTTCACCCCACCCCTTTCCCTCCCCTTCCTCCCCCCGCCCGCCCCCACGCAGCTTCCCCCTCCTCCCTAAAACGGAAGCAGAGGTGCTAAGTTGTTCGCCCTCCCCCTCCCCCTGGTACCGCCTTAGGGCGACTCACGGCCGGAAACGGAAGTGGCGGCTCCGGGCCGTTGCTAGTCCTGTGTGGCTTGGAGGACCCGCGGAAAGACCGGAAGCGGAAGTTGCTCAACGGGAAGAAGACGTCGCCTCGTAGCCTGGCGGGGGCTTTTTCGGTTCTAGAGGCGGCAGCGGCAGCGGCAGCAACAGGTAAAGAGCCGGAGGAAGGACGCGGGGCCCGCGGCTACCGTCCTCCGCCGCGCGAGTGTCCTCTTTATGTGACACGTCGGTGTTGGGGTCCCGCCGTGTGTGTACGTGTGTTCGCGCGTGTCTGTGCGCGCGCCCCTGTCAGTGTGAGGGGCCTGCGCGTGTGAGTGTGGGTCACCATCGGTTTGGGTGTGACCAGCGGCCCTCCCCCCCCCGCCCCCGTGGTCCCTAGTCAGGGTCAGGACGCGCCCCCCGCTGTGTCAGTCCGGGGGGGTAGTGTGTTTCCCTCCCCCACGTGTGACCTGTCAGTGTCAGGACCCCCGTCCCTGGGTGTGACCAGCCCGCCCCCCCCCACCGTGGTCCCCCGTCAGTGTCAGGACGCCCCCCCCTTGGGTGCAGGCTGGGGGGGGAGTTGGTGTGTTTGTCTCCTCCACGTGTGACATGTCAGTGTCAGCCCCCCCCATCTCCCTCCTGCCGTGTTATGCATCCAGGTCCCAGCTTTGGGGTGCATCTCATTAGTGTTGGGGTCCCCCCGGGTCTGCCTCCCCCAGAGTGCCCCCTTGGGGTGAGGGGCAGCCCCTCGGCGTGGAGTGACCCTCCCCCTTTCCCCACGGTCACCCCCCCCCGTCGGGCCCTCCCTGCCCCCCAGCTATGAGAGGCCCTTCCCCTGTGACCACCTTCCCAGCCCTTCCCCCCACACGGTGAGACCCGATGGGTAAGTGCCCCGGTCTCTCTGTGTGCCCCAGACACTCACCATGGGCAACACAAGCAGCGAGAGGGCCGGCATGGAGCGGCAGGGGGGCCACAAGACCCCCCGGCGGGACAGCAGCGGGGGAGCCATCACCACCAAGGAGGGGGGGGAGAGGCCCAAGATCATGATGGACAGCCCCGAGGATGCCGACCTCTTCCACTCCGAAGAGATCAAGGTACGGAGTAGAGCGGGTCCTTCGACTGCTTGTCCACTTTGGGCTCCGATCTCCTTGGGGATCCCTCAAAGCTCTGCCTCCCCCACATGTCTGGCTGGGCTGGGACAGTTCATAAAATGCAAGGGACACAGGAGCTCTTAGCAATCAAAGGAGGTAGATGTAATTACTGAGATGGGAAAAAAGTCACCCCGAGGGAACAGCAGCGCTGGCTATCACACAGGCCACTAGACAGCCCTGGGACGATTTCAGACGCTTGCTTAATTACGATGGCAAAGCTAGCAGCTACTAAGCCAGTCTGGGCCACTTTGTAAAGTTAGCTTCACAGCCCCATGCCTTCTCTGTGCTGCAGGTTCCTCACTGTGTATTAACTTAGCTACAGGCTTACAAGAGTATCTGCGGTGCCTTATTTCTACCTGAAAACCTTTTTACTATTAAACGAAGGAAAAGAGGGTCACGGAGGTATCTTTTTGGTTCAACCAAGAGGAGAGAAAAGAAGAGAAAGAAAGCCAGACAAGGAGGACCACTTTGAGGCCACCCAGGCGGATTTTGTTCTGTACTTAAAAGAAAACCAAGTTGTACATAATTGGGGCCCGAAATTTCATGTACACTCGATCCTCTTTTTGTGTTCTCCCATGTATATACATATGTCCATTCTATTTGTTTAGTTCACAATAAAATAAAACTTAAAGAAAAAAATATTTCTAGACGAGAGAACCAAGAAAAATTAATTTGCTTCTTGAAAAGGCAGTGGGAGTGAAGTCATCTTTCTCCGTGTAGCTTTTTTTTTTTCATTTAGAGTTCTGAGCTCCTAGCTCTTCAAAGACTAGTCAAAGTGCCCCTTTATGTCCTTGTTCAAAGTCAGTCCCTGCCAGCTGTGCTATGACATCTTCAAGGTGATGGTGACATTCTGTGGCTTTGGCAACTTATACAAACCCAGTATATCCTAAACTAGCAACTCTTTTCATACAGTGTAAGGAGGCTGGTGGGAAAGGGGGCGAATTTAGTATTTAAATATATGTACTCTGTTGACATCCAACTGCCTCTGTACCCTTCATGTGCCCTATTTATTCTTTAGAACCATTGGGTAGAGGCTGCGAGGGGTAATAGGAAGAGCACTGGCCCTGAAGGTGGGAGATCTCGGTTCTAGGCCCATTTACCAGCAGGGTGAGGGGAAGTCTGCCACTGAACTTGAATTCTCTCCTCTGTAAACTGTAGAAAACACCTGTACCCCCTGCCTCTTAGGAGTTAGGGAGTTCCTTCCCACCTCAGCCTTGTACCTTTCTTGATTATTGGGCTGGGTAATTGCTTTATTTCCACATTCCCTAGCTTGGAGTCTGTTTATCACAGTTTGAAATCTATTCCTTGAAGGTTTTCAAAGTGCCCAGCATCTCCTTGGGGTCTCACAATAACCCTGTCTGTGAGAGAGGCACAACCAGGGGGTATTTCTCCACTTTATGTATTAGGAAACAGTCTAAGAGAGGTCATCACTTGCCATGGTTGCCCATGTACCGTGTACAGCCTCTGAGGCACGGTTAGAACCTTGGCTCTAACGGCTCTAAATCCCCGCTTGTATCCACCTGGCCTTTGGCCCCGTGGAGCTTACAGGTTCATTCTCCTTCCAGTGGAGGTAGGGGAGGATGAGCCATTTAAAAGCAACATTCCAACATCCTAGCGACCCAGTACTGGGAGTGGGGGGAAGGAGACGTGGAAACATTTTTGGTTTTGTTTTTTAAATAGAACAAAGTTCTGTCCATTGAGTACTTATTCAGTCGTTTCAGTCAGGTCCGACTCTTTGGGACTTCATTTTGAGTTTTCTTGGCAAAGATGCTGGAGTGGTTTGCCATTTTCTTCTACAGCTCATTTTACAGGTGAGGAAACTGAGGCAAACAAGCTTAAGTGACTTGCCCAGGGTCGCACAGCAAGTAAGTTTCAGAGGCTGGATTTAAACTCAGGTCTTCCTGACTGAAGGCCTGGCGCTCTATGTCCTGTGCTACCTAGCTGCCCATTTAGTAGTATTGTACAAAACTCATTTAGCAGTTATTCATTGTAAAGAAGAAGTGTTTCTATTCTTTTTTAAAAGGTCCGGGTCTTAATTAGAATTCAAAGACCTCTGTCAAATAACTGTTAGCCAAAGTTACCTCCTCATTTAGCAATGATTGATAGCTGATTTCCTTGGGAGTCTCTGAGCACATTCCCAGCCCAAAATTTCTGCAGTTTCAGATTTCTCTGGGCTGCTGCCAGTCCAGTGTAAGAGGTATAAAAGCAGTTGCTAGTTACTTGGTTAAAATATTAAGTGAATAGTCTGCAAAACAGTTGTTCTTTTTTTAAAAAAAACACCTCTTATCTGCCCTTTGTGACTCAAAAAAGTTTTCTGAACTTTTTTACCTTAAACTGCTTGGTATATTGGATAACCAATATTTTTTATGAGTTGATGTCTCTAGGATAGTAACTGATAAATTTGTGTCCCACAAATCTCACTTAGGATAGTAAATTGGCAATAATTAAACCAGTCTTGGGATTGGTCTCTCTTTTCAAACTGTTCTGAGTGCTTTCCCTTAGGAAAAGTAGAAAAATTGTCTTTGCTTAATGGTATTGCTTTTAGCAGTGGACTTAGCAAGCTCTAAATTCCTGTGCTTCTAGGCTCCGGAAAAGGAGGAGTTCTTTGCGTGGCAGCATGATCTAGAAGTGAATGACAGAGCTCCCACCCAAGCTCGTCCAACTGTGTTTCGATGGACAGGGGGAGGAAAAGAGGTTTATTTATCTGGATCCTTCAATAACTGGACAAAACTACCACTCACAAGAAGGTATTCCGGGCAGTTTTTATATTTGAATTCTATTGGAAGTTGACTCACTTGTCTTTTTGATGGAACTCGGTAAATGCTGGCTTTGGCTGAAGAGACCAAGCAGGAAAATAGCTTGTGTGGTAATTCAGAAGGTCACGCCCCATCTTTTGGGGTCCAGCCAACTGTGCTTAGGAATAACCTCTTTGTGTTTAGAGGAAGACTTCCTGTTCCCTAAACATTCATAACATCTTTCACTTGGATATAGGAACATATATTCTTCAACTAGGGCGGCTCCTAGAAAAGTGAAAAAGAGGCTTCTGGTAAATAGTAGTCATTGACAGGGATCCAAGAAGCCTTTCTGTGGCCTGCGCTGACCCAGTAGATTCTGACTTCAGTTGTGTATAAAAAACCATTCTCTAATGGGAACCACGGCCTCTGTGATGTCAGGAGAGAAAAATAGTGGTTGGCCCAGTCAGATTCATGACACAAGGGGTCCCACGCGGCCTTGAGAGAAGAGAATGGAAATGGCCTAGTGGTGTGGGGCCCTTTTCCTAAACTGGTTTCTGATTCATGCTGCTCTCTTCAAACCAAACTGGCCGTGAGTCCTGCCCCGCCCCAGTCATCCTGGTGAGTCTGGCTGTCCAGCAGGAGCACAGTCAGCCTGTGTGTGGCCCTCTTCAGCACTGACTGCTCTCACTGCCTTTCAGGCAGATGCAGGAAAGACAGATTCTGGCATCTGGCAGTGTCTGGCAGTCCCCGAAGGAAAGACAAAAATCAAGGAATCTCATTCCAGGTGTTTGTGTTAGGAATGGTGTGTGGTGCTTCGGATCCTCTGCTGGGTCCTGAGGCTCCTACCTGTGTTAAAAACATTGGTCTTGAGCTGTCTAAAAATGCCATCCCTGCCACAGCTGAGAGTTCTTTTGGATGGGGGTGCTCTTCATTTCTTTTGCAAGGGTGGTTCCGTGAAGCCACTGAGAGCAGTTTCTTTTTACAAGTGGGGGAGCTGCAGGGGGTGATGGAGCCAACCAAAATCATTTGCTTCCTTTGACCTCACAGCCACAACAACTTTGTAGCGATCCTGGATTTGCCAGAAGGAGAACATCAGTACAAGTTCTTTGTGGACGGTCAGTGGACCTACGACGCCTCTGAGGTACCATTTCCTTCCTCTCTAGATGGCTTCACTCTGAGAACCAGATATTTCCCTCTAGGCTGCTGTGCCCAAAGCCCCCAGTCCTCAGGCCGCTGTGGCAAAGGCTTCCCTCCTTGGCTGAGCCGGGCGACGGCAGCGATTAAGACAAGCCACCGGTTTAGCCAGTAGACACACACCCGTGATTCCATGTCCTCTCAAGCAGACCTTCCACTTTGTGATTTCTACCTGTCTGTCTCTTCCCAGCCAATAGTGACCAGCCAGCTTGGCACAGTTAACAACGTCATTCAAGTGAAGAAAACTGACTTCGAAGTGTTTGACGCTTTAATGGTGGATTCCCAAAAGTGCTCCGATGTGTCCGGTAGGAGCCCAGTTCTTTTCTGCGCCGTGCTTAGAGAGGGGAGCGCGAGGGCACGGCCATGTAGCCAAGGGCCGTCTGGTTTGTTCTGAGCCTCGGTCCTGAGTTTGTGCCCAAGATGCAGGGAACATAGAACACTCAAAGAATGGACGTGGTCACTTGCTGAAATCCACCCTGCTTTGATTGGTAGTTATTTTGTTTGTGATCATAGGTTTTAGAGCTGGAAAGGGCTTTGTGACCAATCTCTGGGCCAGCCCTTTTTTGTACCAAAGAGGAAACTGAGGCCTGGGAAAGTGAAATGGCTTCCCTAGGGTCATTGGAGCATTAAGCTCAAAAACCAAAGTTTGAACTTGTTTGCTTTGACTCTCAAAGCAGTGTTACTGCTGATTAGCTCTCATTTCTGTTCTCGTATTCTCTCTCTATTCACTGCCCCCTGGAGACGTAGCCCAGTAAAAGCAGACACTAAGTGCCAGTACTAGTGGTCAGTCAAGGTTGAAGAGACGAACTCTCGGGATGGGCCCCACAGCCTGCCGCCGCCTCCGAGGGCTAGGTGATGGGGGGGTGACCTGGGCAGCCGGCTGCGATGCGCTCTGTGCTAGATGTGTGTCTGAGAGGGACCAGAGGGTTCCGGTTTCCAGGCGCTCACTTAAGCTGGCTTTATTTGGGTTGTAAATTAGTAGTTTCAGAATTGCCGAGGGGAACAGGAGGAGGCTTGTCCCAGGAAAGAAGCCGAGAAGCGTAACCTTTCCTGCCTAACAACAGATAGGACAGGTTATGGGCCGGATGTGACTCTCACCCGCCTGGTCACCTGGAACCACCGCAGCCTCATGTGTAGGAGTACTCAGGAGATTGTTTGCATGGAGACTGTTTGTGTGTGGCATTCTCAGGCTCTCTTCAGGGGTGGCAGATTACCTCAGAACACAAATAGAACCTGTAAATTCAGGCTTGGAGGTGTGTGTAATTGAGTCTTTACACAAACCACCTCTCCCCTCCCTGCATGGGGGTTTTAACCAATGATGGGGATCACTTACTGAGCCGGCTTCTTCCAGCAGCTCTTCTCCCTAGGAGTAAGTTTGTACTGTGTTTAACTCTTATACTTCGGATGAATCATAATCATTAGGATCTGTCATCGTGGGCTCCTGTTATTTTCATTGAATTTGAAAATTGCAGTGGCCTCTGGTGAAAGAAAGTGTGCCTGATTAGTGTGATTTCAAACAGGACTTGAAAGCCTAAGAAATAGCAACTATCCAGGTAGGAAGGCATTTATGACTGAAATGGAAACGGCTGCTCATTATTTCTCGTCTATTCAAATAGCAGCCTGCTTGCTCTGATTTCTGTGGAGGGGCTCCCCTAAATCTGCCCCCTATACTTAACCAGGAAACATAATTTAAAATTCCTTACTGCCAGTGAGATATTCTCAATATTGATTGCTTTAACCAGTGTCCAGCAAACCTTTTGGGTTCCCAGCACGGTCTCTCCTGTATTCTGCTCATTTTTCTGCACTTAATGCCGTTTTTAGCGTCTCATTGCTATGGTTGTGGTTAGGTTCTATGAGTATGAGTGAGCTCCCAAGGAAGTGAATTGGTGCTCTGCGTACAGAGGAGGAGGATCCATCAGGCCTGACTTTGAAACCAGCCTGACGGCCAGATAATCAGCATGGCCCCATTCCCACTCAAAGCCGGAACGGTGGTGGTGACAACATCCCCTGACAACGGGGTGCCTGAGTGGGAGGGGCAGGCCTCAGAGGTCGTCCAGAATATCTTAGAACAACAGCAAATACAGGAACACAAAGAAGTTTTTCATAAAGCCTTCTGTAGAAAAAGGTTTAAAGTGCACTGACAGTCCTGGCCACCTTGGTGCCCCAGCTAGCACCTCTGGCTTGGGGGTTTCCTTCTTCATTCTGCCCGAATCTCACCAGCGGGTTTGCTGGAACTCCCCGGGAGGAGCCCGGGCCGTGATCTGCCCAGGTGGGGAGGGTGGCAGCTGCCTGGCCTTGCCTGGCTGGCTCCATTCCTATCTGTGCCCTGGTGCCAGGGCCTCCGTGGCCACTTCTGAAATCTGTGCCAATCCGTTCCCCAGAGTCTAAAAGGCTTTCTCCTGGGTCTCTGGGAACCTTCGTTTCCTTTAACTCTGTGGTGGAGAGGGCAAGGAAAGAGCCAAACCACCCAATGGGACTATCCGTTAGACGAGCTTTCCTCATAAATATCAGCGGCTTAAATGAAGTGTCTTTTTATCACGTTCTTCCGGGCAGAGCTGTCGAGTTCGCCGCCAGGACCCTACCAGCAGGAGCCCTATGCATGCAAACCAGAGGAGCGTTTCAAAACTCCTCCCATCCTTCCCCCGCACCTGCTCCAGGTCATTCTGAACAAGGACACTGGCATCTCGGTGAGTACAGAAGCTTTGCTTCTTGCCCGCTGGCTGGCCTGCTGCTCTGTGCCGAGGGCAGGGCTGGGCGTTTCCCTTCTCTTAAAGCTCCCCTGGCAGAGAAGCAGGCGAACTAAGGCACCCCAGGAGCCAAGCGCCAGGGAGGTGTCGGGTACGAGACACTTATTCCCCTCTTGTTGTTTTTATCTTGTGGGATAACTCCTGTAATCAACTCAACTCTCTTTTTGTATGTTTAACTGTGTGGAAATGACCTGGCCTTTCTGCCCTTAGAATACATTGTGCCCCACAGCCCTGGAGCCAGAAGGGTGGTGGTATCAGGAGACACCTCGCCCTTCTCTGCCCACCGCCGTCACCAAGAAGACAAACTTGTCTCCCAGCACGTCCGAGATTTAAGGGGCCTTGCTAATCATTCGGGGCAACTCTTCAATTTGTTAGGAAGAGGCGTTACTAGTTTAGTTGTCTAGCTCAGTCCACCTTGTGAGATATGACTGCTGTCTGACACATCCAGAGTCAGCCTGTGCACTTAGCACGGCATCTTCCATATTGGGAGTCAGGAACCCAGGGTTTTGTTGACTTTTTCCGGGTCCCACAGAGATGAAAGCTACCAGAACTGCCCCTGAGAGGCAGGACGAAGCAGGTTGATTTCTTTCACTTTGGACCTTGCCCTGAAATTCTTCCCTGAAGCCTAAAAGTCTGCTTTCGCTCCAGGTGGGAGGCCAACGTTGGGAGGGTCATTCCTTGGTGGAAAGTTGATGTTGGACACGTAGCACAAGTGGGTCAAAACTTTGGTGCCTGCTGTCCTACTTTCCCCACTAGCTGCTGTTCCAACACCCTCCTTGGCATATGTTGCTCCAGTGTGTGAGAGGGCCGAAGCTTAAAAATTTAAAGCCAGCCAGGGCCTGTTCTTCTGTATTCCACCCCCATGATGTCCATGGCATAAAGGACAGCAGTCACCCTGCTGTGCACATTCCCTGTCTGCTCTTCTGAATAAGAGACATTTCAGTCATTTCAGAGGTCCTTTAAAGAGAAGGGGCTTCCAGCCCTCCCTCTCATCTCCTCATCTCTTCTTTCTCCTCTCTCTATCCCTCTCTCTGTGTCTCTCCTCCTCTTTCCCCCTTCTGTCTCTCTCTCCCCCTCTCCTTTTCTCTTTCCTCTCTCCTCTCTCTCTCCTTCCCTTCTTCTCTCTCTCATGCACTCACTATCTCTCCTCTGCCCCCTTTCTCTTTCTCTCCTCTCTTTATTCTACTCTCTGGGGCAAGGAGGAGAAAGCACACCCCTGCGAGGTCTGACATGGCTTTCCCCTTTGCGTTCCCACAGTGTGACCCTGCTTTGTTGCCCGAGCCCAACCACGTCATGCTGAACCACCTGTACGCCCTCTCCATCAAGGACGGCGTGATGGTGCTCAGCGCCACCCACCGCTACAAGAAGAAGTATGTCACCACTTTACTGTACAAGCCGATATGAAGTCCCCAGGAGGCCGCTGGCGCCGGGGAGCCGCGGAGAGGATGGCGCGGCACAACCTGACCCGTCTGCAGCTTCACAGCACAGGGACTGCCCCACACGGTCTTCAGTCCACACTCTTTTTCCACTCGCCCTGCTTGAAGATCTCCTGGCAAGGCAGCTCCTGAGGAGCCAGGCTGGCCGCTGTGGCCACTGACTGACCATAAAACCTTCTGGCATTAACCGTGATGGGGAGGGCGTAAAGGAAGACGCAGAAGATTGGCCGCAGCCCAAAGCATCAGGGAACCTGTGTGCATTGTCGGAGACAGATGCTCTAACAGGCACCCTCCCAAAAAATTAGAATAAGCTAAGCCCAGACCCCAGTCACGGGCTGCTCTGTCTCAGGTAGCTGGCCCGGCGAAGGGGCTTTCCTTACTAATGACTTCTGTCACTTGTCGGTGGATGTGAAAGTCAGTGCAGTGACGACGTCTCTGCACGGTAGGTCTGCCCCATTTTGGCTGGCGGCAAGCTTGCTTAGGAAGCTCTGGCCCTCACGCACACTGAGCACGCTGTGTTTTAAACCCACAATTACTGTGGGGGGAGGGGGGATGTATCTAGTAGAGATGCAATGACCAGGCTTGTAAAGGCATTTTCTTTTTTTAATCACCATCACTTGGGTGCGGATCATGTGAAGAGGGCCCCTCGGGGACCCATCCCAGCCACAGCCAGGCTGCCCAGAGGGCCGACCAGTGCTCCGTTTGTTCTGGCTATGGGTGTTGCTTGGACTTGCTTTTAATCGTCCGGTCAGGCCCAAGGTGACCAGTGACTCTGGGAACCCGCGGAGCTGAGATCTCAAAACCAAATGATCATTGAAGGCCCAGCAGGTGCCAGCCATTTAGCAAAGCTTTTATTTCTGAAGGGAATCTAGATTTTCTGGGGTGGGCGACCTCACAAGGAAGTGCCCACTCTGGGCTTAGCAGCAGGCTAGGGTCCCCAAGCCCTGCCCTTGTCACCTCACTCCAGTGTTCGTTCACTCAGTACTCCCGAGCCTCTTGTATCATTGTGGAGACACTGAATCACTGTCACCTTGTCATACCTCCTGACCAGGTTTCAGTAAAGCTTTTTGTAAGAAATGATGTCGCTGTAATTGAGGCCGTGATTGGGGGGGTTGAGGGCGTGGGGTTCTGAAGGCTCATGCTGGTCATTATTAGGTTGTTAACTTTTGATCAGTGACTTGACCTCACATCACAGATGCTCAGAGTGGGCAGGAACCTCAGCATCTATTGTGAGGACAAAGGAGGCCGCGTTTGCCCAGTGTTCTGGGTGAAAGAGAACTGTTCTGGGGTGGCCAGCATCCGTGGGAAGGCCTGCGACGAGGAGGAGATCCCCCTTCCTCCTGAGGAGGACGGTCTGTGAGGCGGCCCTCACTGTTAGCTTAAAGCCGCCTCTGGTGCTCTTAGCCCTTCCCCTGGGGCCAGACAGACCAGACCTAAGCCTCCTCCCACATAAAGCCCTTTATAAGAACTTGAAGACCTCGCATGTTCCCACCTGAGTTCTCTTCTCCAGGTTAAACATCCCCAGGGTTCCTGCCACTGAATCTCTTGACATGAACTCAAAGCCCGTTACTGTCCTGGCTGCCCTCTTCTGGTCACAATAGAGCTCATCAACCCCCTTCCTAACCTGAAAAGCAACCAATAACATTTAATGAACACCTGCTTTGTGCCAGGCACTATGCTAAGTGCTAAGGATGCAAAAAGAGCCAAAAGACAGCCCCTGCCCTTGAGGAGCCTATGGTCCAGTAGGGGAGGGGGGAGGGGATGGTATGCTAATGAGCCTGTACAAAAGAAGCTATTAGGCACTGGATAACAAGGAAATAATTCACCGGGAATAAGACCAGGAATCCAGCTGTGGCCTGAGTAGAGCCCAAGAAGGGCCTCCAAGACGCCAGCCATAATTATGATTGTGGTGGTTAAGAAAGCATCTGCCTTCTTGGCCTCACCAAAGGTATTTAAGTATGTGCATCTTCCATATGTTCCATAGGAATGCTGTGTAAATAATACGTATTACTTTTCGGTGTGCCACATGTATGTGTTATATATTATAGGTATGCACACCTTGATGTTTACATTTAATACATAGTAAGAGCTGGAAGAAAAGGGACCTCCAAGGGCCTTTTCAGCCCTACATCTACCTGTTTTTTATCTGCTATGTTAACATAACTAAACCCCTGGGATCTTTTATCAACAAACTCCTGACCTCGCCTCCCCCGTCTTCTTACGTGTGACATAGATTTTTTTGATGCCCAAGTGGGTGACTACGTTGAGCAGATCTGGCCCGTCACTGGCACTTGGCGGTATGTTTTGGGACCCTGTTACACAGTATGTAAGCCTTTCCTCCCAGCCTCCTCATTTGTCCATTGGAAAAGCGTGCCGCTCAGGCCTTTGTGTATGTCATTTTGTCAGATGCTTTGCTAAAATCTAGGTAAATTATGTGTATTCCCCTGACATACTAGTTTGGGTAACTGTGAGGAAAAAAGTTAGGCAAGAGTAATTTGATGACAGTCGGACCCTGGTTAGCATTACCTCCTTTTCTAGAATTTTTCCAGAAAATGGAGTAATATTGGTAGTGTTCACTATGGTGCTGAGCACATAGTAGGTACTTGATACTTCTTCCTTTCCTTCTCCAACAGTTTATGGAGTATTCACTTTATTTTTTTTTAAAAGCTGGGACATGTGACTTTTTCCTATTCTGTAATACCCTTTCTATTTTCCGTGAGTTATCTTTAAAACTAAATTTGAATTATCTTGTTTCTAGAACACCAGAATTTCGCCCAGAATCCCTCCCATTTCCCCTTCCCAGAGAGCAGTAACGTGTTGCCCAGGGTCACACAGCTAGTAAGTGTCTGATGCCAGGGCCAGTATTCTATCCAATGTACCACCTAGCTGCCTCTAACAAATACTATTTTAAAGGGCAAAAAAAGGAAAAGAAAAACACCCAACAAAACGATACACTGAAAAAGTCTGAACAGTATCCGCAGCAGTGGCCCTCCAGTCTTTGTAGAGAACTGGGTGGGGCTGTCTTTTCACATCTGCTCTTTGGGGCCGGGCTTGTTCTTGTAACTTGGCAGCATTCACTTTTGATTGTCCGATGGTTGTCTTTTCCATTCGCTTGTAGTCTGTTGTTTTATCAGCTGTCTTCTTTGGTCTACATCAGTTCACCGACGTCTTTCCATGCTTCTCACAGCACAGTAATACTCCATAGTCATAACCGCAGCTTGTTTAGCCGTTCCCCAATTGATGGGCATACTCCCTTTTCCAGCTCTTAGCTACTACAAAAAACTGCTTCTATAAACTTTTTGGTGCATGTGGGCTCCATCTTCTTACCAGTAACCTCCTTGGGGTATACATTCCCAGCAATGGAATCTCTGGCTTTGGACATTCTAGTTCCTTTATTTGCATAATTCCATATCACTTTCCAAAATGGTTGTAAGGACTCACCCCTCCACCAACAGGTACAAATATGCCTGTCTTCCCACAGCCCCTCCAACATTGACAACTCCTATCTTTGGGCATTTTTGCCAATTTGCTGGGTGTGAGGTGAAACTTTAGGGCTGTTTTGATTTGCATTTCCCTGGTTATTAGTGATTTAGAGCATCCTTTCATGTGGTTATTAGTAGCTTGTAATTCTTTTGAGAACCATTCACACCTGCTGGGGAATGGATTTTGGTTTTGTGCATGTTTGTGTGTAATGTTTATTTTATTAAATATGTTTATTTTCTCTATGTGCGTGCATATATATGTCTGTATGTTGCCTTCTATTTTGGATTTCAAATCCTTATCTGAGAAATTTGATACAAAGATTGTTTTTTTCCATTTGGCCACTTCCCTTATCCTAAATGCATTGATTTTAATTGTGCAGAAATTTTTCAATGTCGTGTAATCACAATGATTTGTTTTATCTAATAACCTCTATCTCATTTAGTTTCTCCATGATTTTTCAAATGTGACTAAAAGTGGCTCAACAGTCACTTGTACCTGAGGATATGGTTCATCTGGGCCAGGTGACTTCAGTTCACTAATAGGAGAGATGCCATGAAGATACCTTAAATTCAGCACCCATTCTTTTTTCACCCAAACCCTCCCCTCTTCCAAACTTTTCCTGTTACTGTGAAGGTTGTTCAAATGCCACACACGTTTGCCAAAAAGACTATTTTATCAAGAGCTCACACAAGGCAGGTGCTCACGTGGAGGTCAGAAGAAGCGACATAAGGATAGACTGAAGGTTTCTCTGAAGAACTTTGGAATCGATTGTGTGACATGGGAGACACTAGCACAGGACCGCTCAGCATAGTATGCCCACATCAAAGAAGGCACTGAGCTCTATGAGCAAAGCAGAATTGTAGTAGCTCAAAAGAAATATGAGATGCACAACTTCACAGACATCTCCACTCCAAATGTCCATACGTTCTATTTGTGCCCAACCTGTGGTAGAGCCTTCTGAGCTCCAGTTTGGTTTGATCAGCCATGGTGGAGCACACTGTAACCTGACTCTAACATAGTGATGTCGTTTCGGTCCTCTGAGAGAAAAGGACAATAATCAACCACTCAGTTACTGTCAAGGCTACCGCCATCTTACTTGTAAACTAGGTGTCCTCCTCAGCTTCTTTCTCACCTCTCTCCATCCCCATCCAAATCCAATCTGTCGCCAAGTCCTGTCAATTCTACCTCCGCAAGGGCTCTCATAACCGTCCCTTTCTCTCCTCTGACATGGCCACCACCCTGGTACAGACCCTTATCATCCCACCTGTGGACTATGGTAATGGAGCCTGCTGATTGATCTCCCTGCCTCAAGTCTTGCCCCAATCCAGTCTGTTCTAAGCAGTAAATCCCAGTGATTCCCTTTTGCCTCTAGGAATAAAATATGATATTTTTTGTTAGCCTTTGAAGCCCTTCATAACCTGGCCCCTACCTTTCCAGTCTTCCTCTCCTCACACCACTCCACACACTCTACAATCAGTGACACCAGCTTCCTGACTTTTTCAAACAAGGCACTCCATCTCCCGACTCCAAACATTTTCTCTGTCTTGCCCCTAGAGAGCTGGACCACCCTCCCTCCTCATCCGCCCCTGCTGGCTCCCCTGGCTTCCTTCAGGTCCTGGCTAAAACCCACCTCCTACAAGAAGCCTTTCCCCATCTCCCTCAATGCCCATGCCCTCCCTCTGATTATCTCCAATTTGTCCTGTCTACATCTTAGTTGTTCGCATGTTGTCTCCCCTGTTGGATCGTGAGCTCTCTGAGCATAGGGACCATGTTTCTGCCTTTCTTTGCTTATCCCCAGCATGGTGTCTGGCCCACAGTAGGTACTCAGTGCAGGCAGCTGGCTGCTCAGCTTTACTTTTCTTGGGTATCAGCTGCCTATTTGCTACTTTTTTCTGTCATGTCCAGTGCAAAGATCATTCTCTCTACTAGAAAAAAACAAACTTAAACTGAACATTTTTTCTTCTCTGTTGCCTATTATCACTCTCCCACTGCCCAAACAGTGATTTTGTCCCATTGGCCCTTTTCTCCATAGGAATAAAAAAAACCTTTTTTGTGTTGTGTAACTTTCCTCACTAACCTCAGCTTATTCCTAGGTTTATTTTTATTTTCTTATCTATTAATAGTATTTTATTTCTTTCCAATTACATGTCAAGACAATTTTTGGCATTTTTACAAGATTTTGAGTTCCAAATTTTTCTCCCTCCCTCCTCTTCCTAAAATGGTAGGCAATTTGATATAGGGTATACATGTGCTATCATGTAAAACATATTTCCATATTAGTCACAGTTGTGAAAGAAGAAATAGATCAAAAGGGGGGGGGAAAACAAAAAAGAATAAGGCAAGTGAAAAAAAGTATGCTTCAATCTGCATTCAGAGTCTAGTTCTTTATCTGGATGTGGAGAGCATGTTCCTTCATGAGTCCTTCGTATTTCTCTCAGATCGTTGTGTTGCTGAGAATAGCTGGGTCATATACAGTTGATCATCATACAATGTTGCTGATGCTGGTGTGCAGTGTTTTTCTGGTTCTGCTCATTTCACTTTGTATCAGTTCATGTAAGTCTTTCAAGGTTTTTCTGAAATCCACCTGTTCATCATTTCTTACAGCACAACGGAATGCCATTACATTCATATACCACAACTTGTTCAGCCATTCCCCAATTGATGGGCATCCCCTCAGTTTCCAATATTTTGCTGCTATATGTTTGCACATTTAGGTCCTCTTCCCTTTCTATGATCTCTTTGGAAAACAGACCTGGTAGTGGCATTGCTAAATCAAAGGGTGTGCAGTTTGGTTGCCCTTTGGCATTGCTCTCCAGAATGGCTGTTATCAGTTTACAACTCCACCAAGAGTGTGTTAGTGTCCCAATTTTCCCACATCCCCTCCAACATTTATCATTTTCCTTTTTTGGCATATTAGCCAATCTGAGAGGTGTGAGCTGGTGCCTCAGAGTTGTTTTAAATTTGCATTTTTCTAATCAAAAGTGATTTAGAACACTTCTTCATATGCCTATAGATAGCTTAGATTTTTTTCATCTGAAAACTGCCTGTTCATATCCATAAGTTTGTTTTTAAATTTTATTTTCGAATAAAGCATTTATTTTCTCTCCATCCTTCCCCAAAGGGGGGGGGGGGCGGAGAAATCCTTGTAAATCAAATCAAAGTAACATGTTGGCTTTCTTCCAAAGTTCTGGATCTCGAGTCCATCATTTCTCAGGTAGGAGGTTGGCAGCGTCATTAGTTGTCAGGAATTTTGGTTGGTCAATACACTGAGTGTTCACTGTGTGTACACAGATTACATCTTCCAACTTTTAACTTTTGTCTTTACAAAGTTATTATTGTTATTGTTGTTCAGGAGGCAAAGAAGGTGAAGTGACTTGCCCATGGTTACACAGCTAGTAACTGTCTGAGGCTGGATTTGAACTCAGGTCCTCCTGACATCAGGCCCTGCATTCTGTCCACTATGCCACCACCTAGCTGCCTGGTGTTGTTATTGTAGACATTTTTCTCATTCTGCCCAGTTCCTTCCACCTCAGGTCATCCAAAT